CCAGGACTGGGATCAAGGCTGGGATCAGCACCGGGACCAGGATCAGCACTGGGACAGAGACCGGGACTGGGATCAAGGCTGGGATCAGCACTGGGAGCGGGACCGTGTTGTCCGGGGCCCCAGACCCACAGGAAGCCTGGCAATGCCTCCCCATTTCTCCCATTTCTTTACTGTTATTTTTTAAATTTTTTTTTCTCCACTTTAGATTTGTTTGTTTTTGTTTTTAGCAAAAATCTTGTTTGGGGTATTTTGGGGGAAAAAATTCTTCAGAGAGAATTTTGATCCCTTCCCAAGGCTCCCAGCCCTCCTTCCCCAAGTCACATCTCGGTGGCACTGCCAGGGAGGTTTGGACTGACACCTTTGCAGATGCTCTAGGACTGAGTCTGCCAGTCCCTGCCAGCCTGCCAAGTGTTAACAGAGGAGATAAAATACCAAGGAAGAACAGGAAACAAAGCCTGGTATGCCTGCAGCCTCCTCAGAGGTTCAGCAATTGCTGCATCTGGTTTAACACCCAAGTTAGGAGATCAGGAAATGATTTGGTTTAGGTTTCCTCAAGTTAGTTTCCATTACTGATAATGGTGGGTTCCTACTGGACTGCAGTCAGCACTCAGTGGGATTATTTCACTTTGGTGTCTCCAAACACAGCTGAAAGGCACCAGCTGACACACAGTTCCTAATTTTGTTCTTTTGGCAAAGTGGGACTGTCTATGGAAGGTGGAACTCGACCACGAGGGAAACTGTTTCCCCACAGAGTGGCCCATGTAGGCATGGGATCAAGCTTCCTCTGGGGACATAGAGGCCACTGCAGATCTCAGAGGGAGAGGAAAAGTGCATTCCTGCACGAGCTGCACTCCTGCAGGGGTGAAGGGGAAGATGAGAAGCTGAGCAGTGGCCGGGAGCAGGAGGCTGATGCTGGCCACACAGACAATGTGAGCAGGGGTGCTCAAAGTCCAAGTGATGGACTGTGGATGTAAGAACCTATCCAGCACCTTCTATCATGTTCTCTTTTTAATAAAAACTCAGACTATTGCAGTAAAACTGGATGTCAGCATTACTAAACCCAATTTTTTTTAAAGAATCCACATTGCTTTCTATGTGGTCAGCTGAGCTAAGCTGGCAAGCTTCAGTTTCCATTGAGGGGCACTTTGGAACTCAAACAAACTCCTTGGGGAATTGTGAAACTCATCCCATGTAGCATTTTTGTACAACTGATCTTTTAAGATGAAATATAACCCCAATCCTTAAACGGAGTTACTGAAATGAAATATAAATTCAAGCCAAGGTAAAACTCCCAATAACTCAGTTCTTCAAACTGCATTAATTCCAATTGCTGCTGAGTTTCATTCTCAGCTTCAGGGGTTTGGTGCCTTCTGCAGTGATGACAACACAGGGATGCAGGCTGGGGTCACCTCCAGGAGGCCTGATGGCTTCACTGACCCAAAATCAGGGGCTCTGGGAGAAGGCAAGAGCAGCCCATGCCCATGGGCTGATGAGAACACATGGAATTTCCAGCTTGCCCAGCTGTGGCTGCGTGCAGGCAGCACAAACAGGAGCCCTCAGTTCCTCTGCAGCAGAGAAATGCAAAAAGCTTTTCCTCTGAAAGGAAGATAGCTCTTAATTATAGTGGACCTGGAACAAGGATTGCAACGTGGCACCAGCTGTGAGCTTTTAAGTCAGCTTTGCCAGCTGAAGGATGAGAGAGCCAAAAGGGGATGATTTGGAGAAACCCCCAACATGAGCTGGCCCACAATTTGCTGATCATATGGAGTTTATATACAGAATTCTGCTGTGATGGATTCTGCCACTGAATTTGCTTTTACCACCAGATGCCTCTAAGGACATCTGCTAATCTATTCAGAGAAATCTCAAAGCAAGACTGTAATGGGGCACAAGGGGGGAGGAAATTGAAAGTTAAGCCAAATTGAGGCTCATTCTTCACACCAGGCATCCTGAAATGACTTACAGGTGTCTCGGACCACATTCCTGCAGAATTTTCATGGATTATAGCTATTTACTTTACACAAATGTACCCAAAAGTTGCATTCATACCAAAGCAACACACACACACACACGACAACCCTTTTGCTTGAGACACCCAGCTGGGATGCTCCCAACAGCTGGATTATCCCAGCTCTGGCATGACTGGAGGTGTCACAGCCTTCCCTGGGCTCCCTGGCCTTGGTGGCACTCTGAGACAAGCAGCCTCCTCCCCAAGCCTGCAAGGAGGAAGGAATCATCCTGAGGGAGGTCAGGAATGTGTATGAGGCCTTGCAGGCTCACAGGCTTCAGTCCTGAGGGCTGCCAAATGGAGGGCTTGGCAAGCCAACAGTGATGGTCCAGAGAAGGCAATCAGGAGGTCATGGACAGTGTGAAGGCAGTTAACACACAGATTCCAACTGCAAAGCCATGAAAGCTGAAGTCAGGCTGATTAATTAATTATTTACAGTCCCAACTCAGCTGGAGTTGTTGAGAAAACCTCAAATCCTTAGAGCATCTGCAGCATTTACCTTTCATGGATGTTCAGATGGGTTCATTTCAGTCTCTTAATTAGTTCACACACCATCTATGTTAGAACAAGTTAATGCTCTTTCTTTCCACAAAGCTCTCAGAGCTCTATGGCCGCTCCACAAAGGTGAGGTTTTAATCCATAACCACCAGTGCAAGCAGAGTGACAGAATGAGCAAACACCAGCCCTGCAGCCAGCCAAGGAGCTCTCTCTGGGTGCAGCAGTGTCCTTCAGGAGCAGGCAGAAGCCACCTCTCAGCACCCAGCCTTCAGTGCCCTGCTCTGCTCAGGGGGTGACAAGGCTGGCACCAGGAGCTGGTGCCTGTCCCTGATGCTCCTGAAGCCAGGATTGACTTTGGGATGATGCAGCAGGGAAGGAAAGGGGAGCTGAGCAAATTATGGATGCAAGAAATGTAAACAAACTCCCTGATCATCCCAGCCAGGGTCTCTGTGCATTTCAGGAACAACAGTTTGATGTATTTGTCTAGCTTGGACTCCAGGACTGATGCTGCTCACCCTGCCAGCCATCTGCCACATTGCTTTGAGTTCTGCAGGCCAGGAGAACATGCTCCCACACCACTGACTGTCTGCTACCCTCCATTCTGACAGAAAAGCTTTAATACTGACAGAGGTCAACAGCTTTAACACCTGACTTCAGCCCGGGCTGAGCAGGACTTGAACAGCCCTTGTCAGTGAGTCAAGAGCTGGACACTGCCACCAGCCTCTGACCAGGAGGAAGCATTTTCCCCAAGGAACTGTATCAGCTTCTCTCCCTTAATCCTGAATGACATCAGTGGTCTGAAATGGGAACCTACCTGCAGGTACAGAGGCCTTGGACCTCCACACACACCCTGGCTGTAATCATCACTGATGTGCCTTAAATGAGGAATTCTCATGGAAAACAGCAGCCAAGAAAACAAAATAACCAACAAAACCCCCACACAGCTTCCAAGCCCAGAGGAATAAGACCCAACAAACCCCAAAACAGAGCAGGTAAAAGGGTGAGACTGTCACTGCACCAGCCACACCACGCACAACGCTTTGATTAAGCCATTGACAAATCTGCTTTAGGGCAGAGAAATTTGGAAACATCAGGCAATCAAACTGTGAAGTCTGTGAAAGAATGTGATTAATGCAAAAATGTGATGAAACTAATGTGCTTGGCTCCAGAATTTCATGGCACACCCTATACTGGAACCAAATCTGATGGCTTCTTGGCGAGCAGTGCCCCTCTGTGCTCCCCAAACAGGGTTATCCGTGTCCTCTTTGTTTTCCAGGTCTGAGCAGAACACAAAGCTTTTATTGGAGCTACATTTCTAAGGATGTGTTTCCCAGGATATGTACCCATAAAAAGAGACGTGTACATGCATATATACTCTGAATAATTGCACAGAATTTCACTCTTCCCTCCTGAGACATAAAAGAGCCAAGTGTTATTAAATTTACGGCGAGTTCGTTGTAGTTTTCACATAATTTTCTTGATGCACTGCAGATTTTTTAACAGGCTGCTGCTTCCTTTCCTGTTTAATGTTAAGGCACTTGTCCAGTCTCAGCTATACCAACATCCTGGATTTCTGTCTAAGTTTATCAGCCCCAGGGGCAAATGTGTCATTTTCTCTCCTCCTCTGGTCCCCAGCTTTGTGTGGAAAAGGAATACATGGGCCTGCAGAGTTCAGGATGCAACAAAGGACTGCAAACTCAGATTACCAAGGCTGTGGTCAGCACAAGGCTGATCTTTCACGGATGGCAGACACACATCAGGATGCACTCCATGGCTGTGACCTCCAATTACAGAAGGCTGGGCTTGACACCAGCATCCAGGCAGGGGCAGAGGGCAGGAACAGAAGCAGACCTGGCATTTGTTGACTCACATTTGGTATTGTGGCTTTTGCAGCTAATTTTCTCTTGGTTACAAGCTCACTTTATGTCTAATTTTTCTTTCATTGCAAAAAGATGTTCGTGTGCACATTGGAATGTGCTCTCCAGGGGAAGACACACGATATAACTGTGATGCAAAGGAAAATATTATACACCAAGGCAGATGCAGAGGGGTTCAAAGAACTGCCTGTCTGAGGGCAAACTTCCCTGTCACTCTGCACACCTTCTCTAAGCAGCCTTGTCTTGAGGCTGCAAAGTTCAAAACTGTAGGAAATGATGCTCAGTTGAACACACTCAGTTCCATGGAGCCACCTGTAAGCTACAGCACCCCACTGTGCCCTGACCAAACATGGAGATGGGTGTACCACACACACAGGCTCTTTGCAAGTGAGCAGGTACCTACAAACAGCCCTAGAACATGCAAGAACATAGGTACAGTGTGCAGAGGAGACCTCTCTGGGGACAGTCTGGGCAGCTCTCACAGGAATGTTTAATAGTGGACAGAAAGTGTGTGCAGATGCAAGCTGAGTTGGATGGACAAATGACTCCTTCACAGGATGTGAGAGACACTGCTCTGAACACACAGCAAAGGAGCAAAACCAGCCCCAGATACTCACACATGGGCTTGAGCTGCCCGATGAGCTCCTCTTTTGTCCACTTTGCCCATTCCTTCTTGTCGGTGTTGATGGAGCACAGGATGGGCCCGCAGGGTTTGCCGCAGTCCTCGATGGCCGGCACGTTCAGGTAGTGCACCAACACAATGTCTGGGTTCTGCAGGGACAGCACAGCAAGGGTTATGTTGCTGAGGCCAGCACTCTCTGCATTTAACTTCCTAATTAAATCTGGGACAGCAAACATCATGAGCAGACCCTAGATTGTATGGGATTTCCCCGAGATAGGAGCTGTTCTTTGAAAGAGGAGTGGGTGACAGTTTGCACATGGCTTCCCCCATCCTGAGGTGCTTGCAACTCTCCTGCTCCACTGGTATATTCAGCATGAACCTCTTTTCCAACCCTTGCAACACCAAATACCTGGAGTATTCCTATGAACATCACTGACAATGAACACCAGGTAATATGCTTTGGTTCAAAGGACCTTTTGTTCATTGAGACAATGCTTCCGTCAGTTCTGGACCACATCAGTTTTTTCTGAATATACAGAGAGTCACCTGAGAACATCAGGAACAGCCACACTTTCCATACAGGAGGGAAGAGCCAAGGGGACTCACAAACAGTATCACAGAGCACCCCAAACACGGCCTCTTTACAGACAAGCCTGTAATTCCTTGTCTTTTGAAGATGTTTGCAAACTGTAGAGGGTTGGGACTGGAAAAGCCCCTTGCAGGACAGCTGCAGGAGGACAGAGGTGCTGGCTCCTGCAGGGTGATCCCACAGCTGATCCTGCAGGCTGATCCTACTGGTGGATCATGCAACTGATCCTGCATGTGGATCCCACAGCTGAAACCACAGCTGATCCTGCAGGATGATCCCACAGCTGATCCCTCAGCTGATCCCACAGCTGATCCCACAGCTGACCCCGCTCTCCTCTCCCCGTGGGACAGACCCTGCCCTGGTGCTCTGTGGTGCTGTCCCACCACACCTGGAGCAGGAGCTGAGCTCTGTCCCCACCCTGTGAGTAAATGAATCATCTTAACAGCAGCAGCAACAACTCTGCCAGTTTCCCAACAGCGTCCCAGGGAGATTGTTCAATAGATAATAACAAGATCGAGGAGATGATTTCTTTCCCCTAAGTCATTTACTCCTAAGTTCGCAAACTTTAATGACTGCTTTGGAATTATTTATAAAAATAAATAGGATAATGGTGTAATTAAAACTCTAATGTTTCATTAATGCTGTTAGAGCCCTGTTCCGAGGGGGAGTGGGAACACAACCCATCATCCACTTGCACAGGTTGTGCTGATGGGAGCACTTGCTTATGAAACCAGGGGAGAGCTGGGGCAGGACAGGGACACCTTCACCAAGGAGACCTGAGGAGGGAACTTCTGGTGGGCAAAGCCCAGCACTGAACCCAGCACGCTGGAGCTGCCCCCAGAGCAGCCCAGGGCAGGGGCAGGGGGGCACCCAGCACAGCTGTTGAGGTGACCATGACCCCTCTAGTGCACCCTGCACACACAGGGAGCATCCTGCACATCCCCAGGATTGGGGGGCTGGCCATGGCTCCCAGCTCCTCCAGGCTGGCCAAGAAGGGGCTGGCAGTGGGGTGTACAGCAAGAGGAAAAGCAGAGCAACCCCACAGAGCATCCCCTCGGTGACCAGATACATCCCTCTGTCTGGAGGACAAGCTCAAAAGAGCTTAGGGAAAATTTCCTTACGTTAGGAAAATATGCAAGCAGGAACTTGCATTTTCTCCCTCTATGGATAGAACTGCAAGCAGGGGATTCTCAGTGAAGATTCTGTGAGAAAGCAGTATCAAATTCCTGCAGCCAGTGCTAAAAGAGCTGTACTGCACAGGGAAGAGGCAAAGAAACCTTGTAAGGAACAGCTAAGAATTTATTTCAGAGTGGTTTTGGGAAGTGCAAAGCAAAGAAAACTTTTGGCTCTTCTATTCCCAAGATTCTTCTGCCTTAGGCTGTAAATGCAAGATGTGGCCAGGGGTGTGTGTTCTATTGCCATCTCTCAGAACCACGTGGGGCTGTTATAATTTATCTCTTCCACAACCCATCCTCTCCCCAGGAGATCTCTGCTGTCCATGGCCAGTGAGTGTCCCTGCATGGCTGATCCAATCCCATCATCCCATGGGGAGATGCTCCGCCCAGGGGAGGAGCCAAGCATTCCTACCTGGATCCAATCTGAGGGTTGGGACAGCACAGCAGCCTTTGCCCAGTGCATTGCCAGAGGAGCAGCTTCTGCTGCCCTGCATTGCCAGAGGAACATCAGGCCCATCTACACCACCACTGGACCTTCAGAGGAAAACTCCATCCTTCTCCAGGATCCCTGCTCCAGCAGAGCCACAGCTGGCACTGCAGGAGGGCTGAGCCCCCATGGGATGGGGCTGTGCCACCCCCTGACACACAGGAGGTCAGGTCGATTCTGACTCTCTCAGTGTTATTTTGTATTACTGCAAATTTATTTTGTTTTTAATTTTTATTTTTCCTAATAAAAAACCTGTTATTCCTACTCCCGTATCTTTGCCTGAGAGCCCCTTAATGTCAAAATTAAAATAAATCAGAAAGAGGAGATTTATATTTTCCATTTCAAGAGAGGCTCCTGCCTTCCTCAGCAGACACCTGTCTTTTCAAACCAAGACATCTTCTGAGACAAACAACTGGACCTTTTGTGTCCAATTGTGAGGTGTTCAAAACCTTTGTGAGGTGTTCAAAACCTTCTTTTTCACAGGCACATCTGCCCCAGACAGAGACAGCCAGAGGACACAGAAAACCATCACAACCTCTCATCCTACAAAGGGGATGTCTGAAACATCACAGCTCTCATGCATAACTCAGAAGAGGTTCAGATAGTAAAAATGATTACCCCACACACCCAAATAGTCTCCATCAGCTAATTTAACATCATTAGTGATCTAGATGATGAAGTAATAAAAAGTAATATGCTTCAGAGATTTCATGTAAATACACTTCTTGCTCCCAGGGAGGTTCCAAAGAAGGGAGCAAGGACACAGCAGTGGGTGATGTGGCAGTTCTGCAGGTGCTCCTGCCTCCCTCTCAGGTGAGCTGTATTTTTCACAGCCTGACAGTGCTGGGTTGTCACCAAGCAGGACAAGATTATGGGGCCTCCTGGCTTCAGTGCAGCACAGGCAAGTGGACCTCAGCAGTGGAACTGGTACTGAAATTTATACTTTTTATACATAAAAGCATATAAAACAAGCACAAACCAAGCAGGTTTGTTCCTTATGCCTGCATCTAAAAGCTGACCTCAGAATGACAGATCTCATGAATGCCAATCTACTTGATGAACTGAAATGTTTTGACACTGAAATGAACAGCATACATATGTTTTGGAAAACTCATAATCAGCAGCAAATCACTATTTGTGATGACCTACCAGGAAAGCAAGAGCAAGATGTGAAAGGAAAAATACAAATATAACTTCTACACAGGAAAGGCATCAGGAGAGTGGACACACCAGGGCAGAAACCCTACAGTGGGGTGGTAAGGGGGAATGAGGGGAGCCCTGCACTGGGCTGCAGATGGCTCTGGAAATATTCCTGCTGGAAATGGTCCCAGTCAAATCCTGCCCATCATCCCAGTGCCTGCAGCCTCCGCAGAGTTGCTCTGCTTCCCCCAAACCCAAGTTAAAGGTGCTGCCATCTGTCCCTGACCTGGACAAGGCTCCTTGGCTTCTCCTGCCTCCACTGCTGCTGGGGGTAAGCAGGAGATGGTGCAACAAGTGGTTAAACACAACAAGTCGTTGGTTTTGATGAAGAAAAATGCAACTGCAACATCTGTCTGACTCTTGTTTGAAGCTTCATCAGCACTAAGTGGTCAATAAATCAGACTGGCATGGCGTTACATTTCTGCCATGGCTTAACCATTAATCTAATGCCAGTTCTCATGAAAAATGAAGGAGAAAAACTTGGTGATGGTGAAAGTGTACACATTATTCAGAAAGTGATAATGGCACAAAATGGTGCTGCAGCCCTTCATCCCAGTGGCTGGAGCAGCCTGGCAGCCTCCTCTGCTGCCACCACACACCATGGAAATTATCTGAGTGAAACAGGGATGGTTTGTTCCACCAGCCTGCTCCACGTGGGGATTTTTCGCAGGAGCAGAAACACCAAACTGGAACAGTTCTAGCAGGTGGGGGGCTGTGGGCAGCCAGCACAGGGCTGACCAATGCTGGGGTGAAGGGATGGTCAGTTCCTGCAGAGTTCCACCATGGCTCAGCCACAGGGGAAACTCATTTCAGCAGCCACCTTTTGCTTCTTCTTCTTCTTCACTTCCCAGAGTCCCCTCCAAGGGGAAGTCTCCCTTCTCAGGGAGAATAATCACAAACACCTTCTGCCTCACCAAAGCATGCTGGTTCGGTTCTCTTCTTCTATTTTTCTTTTAAAAGCAAAAATCAAAAGCCATTTCTGGCCAGCTTCCAGCTGCTCTTCAGTTGCTCAGCCAAGGCAATCAGCTCAAGGCAAAATCTCACTGGCAGGGGCTCCCAAATCACCGATGACCACAGCTGAAGATAATTTTCTTTGGAAAAATACCTCTGAGCTGAAAGTTTTGCATTTGTACTCCCTGCTGGAAGGATGAAAGGAAGTAAATTATCCTCAGGTGTTAAGAGATCAGTGAGTTTAATCTCAGCCAAGGAATTACCCCCAAATGCAGCCACTTGCCCTGGCTGGCATTGGACATTTGTGTCAGTTCTGTTGTGTCAAACCTGTGAAGCCCCACAGTGGTGAAACCATCCTGTTCCAGCTCTAATGGCTACACCACGAAGCAGGAGGGTGGGAGGGTGACAGTGGGATGGATAGGCAGCTCCTGTGCCCCACTCCCTCCCTGCTCACCCCCAAAATTATGACAGGCTTTTTCTTTTCCAGCAACTATTCATTCATGAGGTTTACTTTGTATTTCTCAAACAATCCAAAAGGCCGAAAAGAAAATCTCAGCTTTCTGGGAAGATAATTTCACATCCATTGCTGTGGGGTGACTATTAATATTAATATTTGGATTAATATTTGACAGATTATCACCTCCAAAAAAAGCTAATATAAGGAAGTCCCATAAAAAGCTAATGTAAAGAGGTTTCTGTGCTTTTGAAGGGCTACCATTACATGATGCTTTAGTACCCACAGGTAAC